CCGCGCCGCGCTCGCTTCCCCGCGGGGCAGGCTGGCAGGCGGACGCCCCCGCCCAGCCTCCCGGCCGTGCCCGCCGCCGCCGAACCCGCACCTGACGCCAGACCGGGACGCTCCCGACGCCACCCAAGCGGGAACCGCCGCCAGTAAGCCGGTTCCGCCAGCTGTGCACCGCGCAGGCGCACTCGCCCCCCGCGCCCGGGCAGGCGGTGAAGGCCGGTAGGCGGTGCGCAGGCGCAGTCGCACCTGCCGGCGGGAGGCGTGACGACAGGGGCGCGGTGCGCAGGCGCACTCGCACCCCCAGGTCGGGGGGCGGGGAGAGCGAGCGCGTCGGTCGCGGAGAAGTGCGCAGGCGCGGGGACGCTGCGCCCGCCGGGAGCTGCGGACCCGCGGAGCAACTCCGTGACCGCGTGACTACAGTGAACGCCTAGGGCTCGGCGTCACGTCGTGGGTGACTCTTCCTGGCGACACAAGCGGCGGAGGCCCGGAGCCAGCCGTGCACCGCCCAGAGTCCGCGCGGGGCCCAGAACAGCAGCACCTGCCGGGGCTCCCGCCCTGGAGGCCCTGCGCGGGGGACCGGGCCGAGGGGCCGGCGCTGGCCCCGCTCACGGGGTCCTGGGGCGCGTGTCTTCCCGCGAGGGGAGTTGGGGCATGACCGCGAGGGACGCGACCCTACTTCAGACTTCCTTTTAGTAAAAAGCACCGCTGTCGTGGGATGAGAGCGACCCTTGACCTCAGTAGTCCCCACAAAACACCGTCCTCTGCCAGTCAGTGTCCCTGGTGGTTGCCTGGCTCGGACACCTGCTCCGACCAAGCTGCCGCGCGTGGGACTCGCTGCTGTGTGCGGCCCAGCAACTCCCATGAGCTTCTTGTATGTCCCCCCGTGCCGTCTGCACAGTCTCTGACATTACTGTGGGGTGTAGAGTCGCATAAAGCTGCTTGGCGGCGACTGACATGCGACTCCGTGCAGTGGTCAGTTTACCTCTGAGGACCCCACGCCCTGTCCAGTTACTAGGGGGCAGTTACCTGTGCATGCGCCACTTGGCCAGCACCTGCCGAGCTGCTATCCGCCAAGGATTGCGCTTGGTCCTCCAGAAGAGAGAGGCCACAACTTTGGAAGCCAAACGCGAGTGGGGCCAGGCCTCCGTCGCCAGCTGAGCTTGCTTCGGAACGAACCCAGGGGCTCGTGACTTGCTGTTCAGAGCCTCGTTGTTGGGGGAAATGGCCCACTTTGCAGGGCTGCACTGAGGTCGCCCATGATCAAAACAGCGCAGGGGGCAGAATGAACAGGTGTGGGGAGACACCTGCACCCAGCTTAAGTGCAAGAAGGAGCCCTGTGACGGAGAAGTCAGAGCGGCTCCCCTTGAAAGCAGCCACTTCCAGGCTGGGGAGGGGGGTTGAGGGGGGCTGCTTATACTCCCCCTGCAAGGAGCTCTGCAGAATCTGCATGCATCAGACAATTTGGCCTTCTTCATCTAAGGGGACGCGCAAAGGTTCCCAGGTTCAGGCCTCAGCAAGCCGGCGCCCGCCCGTGTGCCGGTCCAGCTGCTAGAGAGCTGGGTGGGCCGGCACGCCGGAGCCGGAGCCGGAGCCAGGGCCAGAGCCAGGGCCGGGCGGGGCCGCG